CACACACACACACACACACACACACACACACACACACACACACACACTTTATCTGTTTGTATTTGGACAAGCAGTGCTACTTTCATGCTGTTCCTGGGTTCCCAAAGGGGAACATCTTAGTTTTATCTCTAGACAATAACTCACAGAACAAAGTGAATTAAACTTACTGTTTTTCCCTCCAGGTTGCATCCCAGCGCATAAGCTCAGTAGACCTCTCGTGTTGTAGCCTTGAGCACCTTCCTGCCAACCTCTTCTACAGCCAAGACCTTACTCATCTCAATTTAAAACAAAACTTCCTAAGGCAAAACCCCAGCCTCCCTGCTGCCAGAGGACTTGGTGAACTACAAAGGTGAGCGTACAGAAGGGCTAGAGTCCTTGGGAAGGGTTAGGGGAACCAGACAAGTACAAGGCCAGCCCATTTGGCAATGGTCTCTTTACTATTGTGACAGGTATAATGTATCTGCATTTTTCCCTTCAGAAGGCAAGGTAATAATTTGCTTTATAGTGAGGGCAATATCAGCTATCACTCTGAAATTTTCCATAAGGTTTCCTGCCTTTAAAATTATGGCTGTGGTGATTCATTGGGTAGATTTACATAAGAGCAGTTCTTTTTAAACAAACTTCATTCCCTGGAATATCTGCAAATAGACTGTGAACGAGTAATGGGTTTTATTGTTGTTCCTTCTAATTTCAAGAATCTATTCAGAATAAACTATTTCTTTTGAGATTTATATATACTAGATATTAGCCCTTTGTCAGATATAGGGTTGGTGAAGATTCTTTCCCAATCTACAGGGAGTCGTTTTGTTTTGACAACAGTGTCCTTTGCTTTACAGAAACTTTTCAGTTTCATGAGGTCCCATTTATTGATTGTTGCTTTTAGAGCCTGTGCTGTTGGTGTTCTGTTCAGGAAGTTGTCTCCTGTGCCAATGAGTTCTCGGCTCTTCCCCACTTTTTCTTCTAACCAATTTAGTGTTTCTGGTTTTATGTTGAGGTCCTTGATCCACTTGGACTTTAGTTTTGTGCAGGGTGATAAGTATGGATCTATTGCATTTTTCTACATGTGGATATCCAGTTAGACCAGCAAAGTGGCTGGATACAAAACTAACTCAAAAAAAATCAGTAGCCCTCTTGTATACAAAAGACAAAAGGGCTGAGAAAGAAATTAGGTAAACAACACCCTTCACAATAGCCACAAAAGACATAACTAACGTACCTTGGTGTGACCCTAACCAAGCAAGTCAAAGACTTGAAAAAAAAATTTCAAGTCTCTGAAGAAAGAATTAGAAGAAGATATCAGAAGATGAAAGTCTCCCATGCTCATGGATTAGCAGAATTAACATAGTAAAAATGGCCATCTTACCAAAAGCAATCTACAGATTCAATGTAATGTTTACTTCTTTAAGAAGAAAAAAGTATAGAGGTAAATATGGCAAAATGTTAACATTTGGCAGATGGAATTGTAAAAGTCTGGTTGACATTACTTACTCTGTTGTTCTACCTAAGTGTTCCATAGTAATCGAAAGTCAAGACCAACGTAAGATGAGTTTCTTACCACTTACAGGAATGTCCACAGAAGCGAGTGTCTGTGAAATAAAGTTGATGTCCGCATGGACCCGAGTTCAGTGGGGTCCAGGTGTCCCACCTTGCCCGTTGTTTCTTTCAGAGACTCCTAGTTGCCTGAGACACCTGATTACCCCCTCCACACCAACTGTGACTCCTGAGCTGTCTGTTGAACTCTCCCTTCACTCCTCTCCGCACACATGCGCACGGACATGGACACACATATATGGCTGAGGCACACAGAGGCTCCTGTGCTGCCAGCTGCACCTGGGGTTGGAATTCTTTGCAGAATGAGGAGTTGCTGTGGTTTCCCAACTACAGCTAACCTGTTTCTTATCTCCTGTTTTTATGATTTTGTTTTATTTTGTTTTTAAAAAGTGTATACTTCTTCCTCACTAAAATAAAGTTGTATGTAAATTTTAAAATTCTACTAAACAAGTTTATAACAAATAGTTGCCTAAATTTCCAGTACACCCCTCCACCTAAGTTCTGCTTTCAAGTGAGTCACTTTTGTGCCATTTGGATCTGCTATTTTCTTTATTCTTTCTAAATATTACGCATACACTGCCATGCAGGACATTCAGTGCAGGTTTACTGTCTTAAGAAGGTAAGGCCTTGGTTCCTCTGCTTTCTCATACTATTCCTGCTTCATGCTTCAAACACAACTCTTTCCCCATTCTCTTGATATATTGCTATCATTTTTTGATCCAATTAGCATTCACTGTTACCATTGTTAGCAAGGAACTGTTGCTCCCAGCTAAGGAACTTAAGTTCTGTGATTGCATTTCTGGTGTGCTTGCTCTTCTTTTCCTTTGTATTCATTTGTTCTTCCTAGCTCATGTAGGCTTCCTGACAGAACAGAGCATTCTTAACACCGTGTACTTGAGACTGCTCCGCTCCTGCAGCCAGTGTAGGTATTTGCTCTTTGGGCCTGCACATAGCAGAGACAGGAAGTGTGCCTCTTCTCCTGGGTGTGTCAGTTTCACTTGAGAGGAATCCTTTGGCTTCTGTCTGAGGGATGCATGCCAAGACTCAGAGCTGAGTGAGGAAGAGAAGCACAATCTCAAGGCTTTACGTGTGGATTTCTGTCTACTCTCCCTGTTTTGTAGAACACAGTGTTTTGCTGTACCTGATACCTTTGAACCAGTGATTCTCTGGTTTATTTTCTTTGGGAATAAACTCTCTTCCCGGCACAGGGGAGAGAATCTGGCATCTTTGACATTCTTTTTTAGCTGTGTAACAAAAATATAGGACAGGAACATGTAGCCTGGTGGATTCCTACCAAATACATATATCATATAACTACTATCCATATTAAAAAATCAACTGTTACCAGCACATAGGAGCTCTCTTTCTCACCCACTGCCTCCATTGTTACCAAAAGATGATCTGTTTGGGCGTCTGACGCTTCACTCAGTCTTACCTGTCTATATAAATGGATCATACAGTGAGTGCATGTATCCAGTTTCTCTCATATTATTCTCTGTGAAAAGCAAAAGAGAGTATTCAGTCATCTTGGTATATTTGTCTCAGGCAGTCCAGACTGGGCTACTCAAATAACTTGGTTTAAGACAGAAGGGTATCACATTTTATATTATAAAAGAGCTGTTTGTTTTCTTTGCTTTAAGGCTGAGCAGGTGTAAGTAAGAGACTTGGTCTGTGAGGTCTGAGACATAGGTGAGCCTGCTGCTACAGTGCCCTTCAGAGAATAATCTAGGCTTCAAACCACATCCTCCTTCAACACCTTCCTATGCAGTACCTGAGTGACAGCCTGTTATTCATCTTTTCAAAGTTAAAAAGTAAATATTAAAGATGCTTGCACACACGCACATATATTGATACCAGGGATTAAAACTATAATATATATTTAAGGAAGTCATAAATATAGTTCAGAAATCACTAATATACATTTTAAAATTATAGTTTAGCAAGTTTTGTTATATATATATAAGAATTTGTTATATATTATATAATTTAATACAGTATATATTGTTCATGTATGTAATATATATTAATTATATATACATATCCATATATATTGCGTTCTGGTTACTCTCACACACACCCCTGTCAGGACTCCCTCCATCCTGCAGTCCTTTTCATACATTTGTACAGTCCTGTTTTCTTAAACTTCCTTCCTTTCTTTAATGTCTTTTACTGTGTTTGTCAGTTGCTGAATTTAACCAGGACCACCTGTGTGTACAGAGTTGGTGCTCTCCACTGGAACTTGGGCTCACCTGTGGGTACACAGGCACAGAGTGATGGTCTTTCCTGCAGAAGCCTTCAGGAGCCAGTAGTCAGCAGGGAGAAGTAGGACTCCTGAGCCCCTCTTTGATCCGTGGATGTCTAAGGACAGGCCCAGTCTTGTCTTGAGATCATCATGGCAGTGGCTGTGATACCCAGGCTGTGCTTCCAAGTCGTAGGGAGGGAGGTGTAAATGACCTGGTTAGGACTGAGCACTCAGCCATCACTTATTCTCAGCACCTAGCGTAGCCACGAGTCCCTGCATTTACCCAGTGATGTACATTTTCAATGTTCTTAGAGTTTGGAGTGTGTTGACATGCCATACTCTCAATTTCCTAATTTTTATTTTTGTGTATATATAAGAAATTTATGCCAACAAATGTCTAGTGTATGTTTAACTGGGAATCTGTTTGAAAGGTAATGGAGAGTAATTTATTTTCATATTTTAACTAAGTTTAAGGAACTAAATTTTAGACTTCTATTAAGACAGATTCTGATTTCAATATTTTAGGAAGAAATTTTACATACAATAAAATAGATAAAAGTTGTTTTTAAAGTACAGTGTATCTTACATTTTCATTTAAATGTAAATATTCACCTTAAGCAAATGATCAGTTTTCAAAGAACATTTAAGTTGGAGTTTGCACCAGCACTCTGAGTCTGGAAAGTGACAGAGGTCAGCAGTTTCAGAGGGAGAACATTGTTCTTGGGTCTTCCACTGTTTGTTTTTCCTTTATTGGCACTGGAACTTTTCAACGTCATGTTCAGCATTTAGAAAGGAAAGCAACAGTAATTTCTGGTGGTTTTACTAGTTTCTTTCCTGATTCTGTGCCACTAATAACTATCCTGTATTATTTACGTTTCTTTCACATAGCCAACTCCATCTCCATTTAAATGAACCAAGTAGTCGTAATAAAAGTCATTGCTGTTTGCGATAGACAATTACTTTTAATAATTTTTTTTTGTAAAGTCAAGGGGACAAGTTTTTGCTGTTTTTGTTTATTGAAGAACCTTTAACTTTTCTTCGTATAACTTAATTTTACTGGTTCTAATGTAGTAGCTAATTGTCTGAGCTTACTTGTACTGAACTATACTGATGTTCAGATATCTTACCAAACTGATGTATGTAGCATTTTTTTCTGTTTTTAGTAATTTCTCAATTTCCATTCATTGAAATTTTATGGGTAGGGTCATTGAAGGATTTAGAGTTTGTGTATAAGGAAATCAAAACTTTGTATGTTTTGCAAGTGTCTTTCTCTACCTGGTAACAAGAGAAAAGCATTATATTGTTCCAAACACATGGGGAGTCTTGACAGGAAAATGAAGACCTGGAGAAGAGCAAACCTTAGGCCAATATAGCAGACTGAGAAAGGGAGTTTGTTATGGAAGAGGAGGAGTAGGGACCCCAGAGAAGATAGCCATTACCTTGCCAAGGTCTGTGTGTAGAGAACCCCCTGCCTCTTGAGTCCCATCTCAGTGCTAACAGTGTTTCCTCCTTCAGGCATATGGAGGAGAACGTTCGTGTACATCTCTCTTGTTTTT